TAAAACAAATACTAACACCTTAGCACTATGCACTTTCTAGATTCTTTTGTCTTTCTAAATATACAACACATATTGAATTAGTTTACAGTGTTTATATTTTGAAAAATAAAAACGCTATCTTTTTTCCTGAGAAGAACACTTAAAAACCTCAGATCTGGGCTGGGCATTTTATAAGATAGACTCATTACTACCCTTGATCAGTGACTGCAGTGTACATCCTGTTTTTCCATTCCTGCAGGAAGCTGTCTGTTGCATCCTTTTGCCCCAATGTGTGGAACAAAAGCCTTGTTTCTTTCATTTATCAAACTTCAGATTAATTCTGTATATAATACAAGAAGGAACCCATGTAGCTTCAGTTGATCCAGGTTCTATTTTAGCTTATCATTTTCTGGGTAATTTCTTAAGCTTGATGTCATATTTGTGGGAGACTATTATATTAATGGGGAAGGGACAGTGTCCATTTATATGAAAGATGAGAAAACTGGTTGGTAATGGAAAGGAAGTGGTTCACTGGGTGCATATCTTGATGCATATCTTAGACACAAAGAGTTGGTGTCTAAGAAGTCTACCTTTCCTTGTCATCTTTCCTTCTCGATGTGAAGCAGATTTGTACTTACTTTGACAATGAAACTTGATCATTTTGACTCCAAATGCTAGACCATAGAGGCCACAGAATTTTTATCTTATTCAGTAAGAGCTCTCTTATAGATCTCTAAGTTGCCATACTGTGATGCTGACATCTCACACTCAGGATCTCTCTGTATGCATGATGCTGGAAGGTTCCAGCTGAACCCAGTCTATAGTTTTAAAAACTACTGAATAGTATTTCCCATGTATCTCTCCTTGTTAAACTTTGGATTTTTCTGGCAGACAGTTAAGCTCCTTATGATGATGTCAACACTTTCAAGGCTTTTTATAAATTTTATGTGGACAAGCATAAATTAGCTTTTTCCCTAGTCAAAATTTAGCCTTATATAAAATTACTTGTTTCTTGACTCTACAAAATGTCCTCATAAAATATACCACTTTTTGGTTATTCCAACTTTGAAATTCTACTCTTACATAAATCTGTTTGTTTTGTCATCTTAAAAATAGTTGCTCAGATTATCAGATATGGCAAGTAAGATTGATCAAACAATATAAATACTAACTATGCCTTTCAATGAGATAATTGAAATTAGTAGTACAATTATCTTAGCTATTGTGTGTGTGTGTGTGTGTGTGTGTGTGTGTGTGTGTCTCTCTGTGGAGAGAGATATATATATATATATATATATATATATAATTATTTTCTTCTTTCTTTTCTCCTTTCCCCCTCCCACTTTTTCTTTCCTTTTAGGCAGTCTTTTCCCTCTTGAAATTTTTTACAATTCCTTTATAATTCCTTACTTACCCATATAAATGTTAATTTTGGAACATTTAAACAAATTTAAGAAGCTAATTTACCACCTAACTTCTAAGCCTAGCTAATATTGGTGGACTTAGCATCTCCTCTTATCTCTCTGTCAAGTTAGCAAGTCATCTTGGCTCATTCACAGTCTATTTTTATATATTGAGTTATCTTAATAACGATCACCACCAGAGTCTCAGGGATGTGCATAAAGGAGAAATAGTCCTCAAACATATTAGATGATAATCATTGTAATACTTAAATGTAAAATTATTCTAATATACATTTTCTGTGTGAAATAAAATGTCAGTGAAAAAATTGAAATGAAATATATTTATATAGCATCATTAGGCATTTTACATTTTTATAAATATATTTACATAAAACCTAAGTCTAAAGTTTAAGTGTTTATGCTATATTTAATGGACAATTTAAAATGTAGAATACAGAGAACTTTTCGGTGTGTTACAAGCTCAAAGAAGGAACAGAACTTGTTAAAAAAAATTCCTCATTTCGAAAAACAAGAGTGAAAGTAGGAAAATGTTTAAAGTTTTAATTTAGTCAGTAGACAATTTAAAATTACTGCCCCCAATGCCTCTTCTTTCTCTTATAATATGGTAGCATTTTCCATCAATACATATTTGTGCTTTTCATTTTGACCTGTACTTTTCCCCCATGAGTTCAAAACTGATTGCACTGGCTCAAGTAGGGGTGAAAATTCTAACCAAAGTAGAGTCAAGTACAAAAAAAAAATAGAGTTTCAGTGTAGGGATTATAAACATGTATTTATGCTTAGTTTGCCATAAAATAATCAGTAAGCATTTATGCCTACAAAAGACAGATGAATTATTTATTAAAATTAATGCACTACTCTTGTCTTGGACTTTTTGCTACCATCTTCTTTTAATAAGTTTGATTTTTTTTTTTATTTTTGCTGCCTTATCTGTTATACTTCTATTTATAATTCCTTATTGATTTCTTAAATAGCACTCCTGTGGCTCTCAGAGGAAAGTCTAGGATTATCAAAGAAACTCTGGGGAAATTGACCCTTTAAGAAGTGAAATAGCCAAAAGCAATCTTCTATGAATACTTGCGATGGAACTGTATGTCCTTAACTCTGGACGACTTCCCATAGCGAATTTCGTGTGTCCTAATTTGGTGAATTTAGGAAACGCAGGTGCTCTATCCGGTCATGAAAGAACTACAGCAGCTGGACGGCATCTATTACCACGAAATGCACACAGACTATGATGAAAGGCAATTAGGCAGTTTACTGACAATCTACACTTTATTTTAAACCCCAGTAGCAGTTTTGCTTCTGCATGTATATTGTAAACCTCAAGCTTTAAGTTTGCCTGAACTGACTGATCTCATGTGGTACTAAAGAAATTAAATTGAGCAGCACCGACAAACTTCAAAGCTGACATGAAGTGCCACTGGAGAAAACTACCATTTGCAAATGCTGCTTCTGAAATGTGAATTTTAGCAAAATTGAATATGCAAAGACAAGCAGCGGAAATTTTCCATTATTAGCAACTAGAACGATGTCATTCATTTTTGGATTTCATACCCGGAAGATCTTTCAATGAACTAATAAAATAGTTCTCTGCTTCCAACAGCCAGTCTTTCAAAATACCATTACGCTGTAGCTGATGTTATTGCCACGCTATTATTGTGATGGTCCCCATTGCTAAGTGAGGAACTATTTTTTAACAGGCTTTGTTGATCTGGTAACTTTTCCATATACTCTCCGTAAGTCTCTGCCGTGAACGTTCACCAGGGACATAGTGTTAGCCTGTCCGTCTCGGAGCGTGTGTATCTTAGCAGTGTACACTTTGTCAGCGTCCTCAAAAGGTGAAATGTCCGTAAGAGGACAGTGTGATGCCTACGTGCAAGGGAAGCAGTGGGCACCGCCTGCCACACGCGCTCACGGAAAAGCAAAGAAGACCCCCACAGCAGGTG